CGCGCGCACGTATTCGCGGAATAAAGTGTATACCGGTGCGGACGGGGACGCTCGTGGCATGCCGCGGTGAGCATGAGCGACCTTGACAGTGGAGCATCTGTCTCGCGGATCGCGGACCAGTTCTTGATAGTGCGATAAACATCCCGCACGCGGGACTCGTCTCTGTATCCCGGAGGGAGAATATTAAAATGTAATATTTACTCGGGGCGTGTACATGGCAACAGATTTGCTTATATTAATTTATATTTGCTTATATTTATTTTATTTATTTTATTTACGCCGAAAAGTGTATGAAGTTTTTTTTTCCAAATGAGAAAATATCAATTTTCTTAAAACTGTAGCTTCACGCTGAAAAGCAATTGTCTGCTTTATTCAAATACAAAAATTTGGATTGAGGTTTATGTTGTTAGAGTACCCACCGAATGAACTTTTTTTTTTAATTTTTCAGACACTTTTTCTCTCAGCGAAGGTATTTTTAGGGAAGCTTTATGATAGTGGTCGATTGATAATTGTTTTGTATATTACGAATGGAAAGTATATTATCTCATTAAAAACACAGAACCGCGGTGAAATACTCGATTAAAATCCAATTTGTTACATATTACTGACCCTCGCGTACGGTGCGTCGATGATGCATTAAATATTTCTCTAATGAGCGATAAATTATGTAGTCAGGTTAAGAATCGTGCGGTACGTCGTGTTCTGCCCGGTGATCTCGCACAGGTTTCCTCGATTCCTATAATTAACTCTCAGATTGCAACATATTGATATCGATGCGTTATTAAGGATTAACGTGTACGTGCAGCACGCTCGCGAAAAGATGTTGATCCGTCTATCGGGGCTCCTCCCCTCTGCGATGAATCAGCCGAATGGTATCGTAGAGAAATCAAGCGAGTATTTCACGTATAATTAATCCCGCGCGCGGGGAACGATGGGTATCTCAGCGTGGCGCGTTTCGCTGATGAATCATCGCGCCTCGCATAGCTCGGTATGAACGAAGCTTTATTAATTAATACGACTCATCTGTTTGCTCCTACTAATTACAACTATGACCCGCATGAATTCCTGCGAGTTTTCTTCCCCGTCGTGAGTAACGCTTCCCGTTCTCTCTTTCGCTTCCTCCCACTTCCTCCTCCTCTCTCTCTCTCTCTCTCTCTCTGTCTTTCTCACTCTTTTTCGCACTCGCAGGCGGCTCAGTTAAAATTCGTGATAAATTTTCAGCCATGTATGTTAACGATTAAATGCTAGACTTTGACGTGTAATTTCTCACTTATTGCGCGACGGTTTCACGCTAAGCGTTATCGGCTGGTTGAAATCAAACGCCAATTCGTGCCGCGATTACTCAACGCTCGGGAATTTGTTATTCGTAATCGCGTATGCAGAACAGGTGTATGCGTCTATGCGTGTGTCCGTTGCAGCGCCACACGAGGAATTTATCATGGAAATCTCATCGCGACCGGCGACTGGCTTTCATCTCAAAGTTCGTTTTATCCGATGAATCCGATATTACACGACATCGTATCGGTTGCACTCGCGACTCGGACGTTTTCATTTCGTTACCACGAGATTGACCGCGTCACACGCCGCGTGTCTTTGAATATTAATTAATGGTAAGCCGGCACGACCTTTGAATTTCAATCTTTGGATTTCAATATATCGACCTTCCGGCTCTCGTTATTTCGCACTGTCAATAGCGCGACTTGTACCTGCGCGGAATCTTAATACATATTTTTTATATTTATTTCTGTCGCGCCGTATTAGAAGGACGATTGAAAAACGACCATGTTTAATGTTACGGATAATCGTTACGCCGCACATGTATTCGATTTCAACTATTCAATTTAGATGACAGCTATAGTCGACGTTAAGTGCGGCTTACCACGGTCGTATCGCGGATGACGACTAAAGTCGGTGCTGGGAGCGGAAGGGTTAATAACCAGCGCCAATATATCATCTGTGAATACATATTGTTGCATTAGTTAAATGCATATATTAGTAGCAAAATTACTATGAATATATTGTTGTATCAATCAAATACTGCATCACGATATAGTCGATGTATGTCGCGAAGTAAATCGCGTTTCTACGGCCCGGCTGGGAAGGAAGGTCGAAAAGATTTTCACTGAACGAAAAATATAATTATTTTCGGACATAGCGATATCCTTTTTTCATTTTAACCACAAAAATAGTTCAGAGAACCGTTTCTTTTTTATTCATAATTGTTGCTATAGCATCAGTGACAAGAATCTTAGGTGCATGTTGCCATTATTTCTGTGGTGTGTCAAAATGGGAAGAGGATATTGTCCCCGAAAATAACTACATTTTCCTCTCAGTGCCGGACCGCGAAGGGTTACCTTTGTTTGATACCTTTCGGTTTTCCGCGTATGTTTATGAATGGATCGTGCATCCATTTTTCCATGTTTGAAAGAGATCATCCGCTTCAAACAGCATCGCGGGTTTTCGCACATTCGCGCGGCGTTATCGTGACTCTCCGGGCATTTACGTCGAAGAATATCCTCCGACGGTGCACGTCTCCCGCATTTCTCCCGGGCCCCGTTTTCCGCCGGTCTGTTCTCGCCTCCTCTTCTGCCCCTGGTTCGTATCGCGCTCGTTACGATACTACGAAACGCCTCGCCGTCGCGCGTCTCCGGTGAATGCAAAAATAAGCCGGTATTTACATAATACAATGCGCCGAGAAACGCGTCCGAGGAGATTCGCCTCGCCTCGCCAGCGTCTCGTCGTGGAAGAAATGACGACGCGATGGAAACAGCCGGAGATTGAGGGGGGGGAGGCAAGGAGAGAGAACGACGTGTCGCGCGCGCGTTACTTGTAATCGAATGTGACGGCGCGTCGCGTCTCGCTCGGTCCATTGTAAATCAGGAAATCCTCCGTCTTCGCCCACGTCGGATTTATATCGTTCTTCAGCGAGGCCGTGGACGTTGCTCGATCGGCCGTCACGTTGTTTTATCGCGTCGCGATGTGCACGCATGCACGCGCACGTGCGTCCGTGTCGGATAAACATGCGGAATTGTTCGCCGCGTATTTGCGTCGATAATAAAGTAGCTCGTTGTTTGTACAATCGACCAGTCACCTGTCCGGACTTGCGAAACTCACCATTCACGCCGTGTTTCACTCGGCTTCGACAATATCCGCCGACCGGCGCGACTACCGGTTTTATCGGGCCGGAAAAGGACGGGAAAGGGAAGATAGACACAGCGAACGCTGCAAAAATCACATTTTCCGCCAAACAGAAAGATATAAAGATCTTCTTTTTTTTTTTTTTTTTTTAATTTTTTTTCNCGCGTCGGGCGATACAATTTCGACGTAGGGAAAGCGCGGGGAGCACGGGGGAGGGAGCGAGTTATAGACTCGGCGAGACAATACCCGAGGAGAGCTCGCTTTTCAGTTAGCTTCTGAGAAGTGTCCTTAACGAAGTATTTTGTCCGCCTATTTGCGCCACGAGCTGGCTGTAATTAGCGGAGGTAGAGCGAGCGATCGCGTCGTCGCGGTGTTCTCCGTTGAACAATCGGCTCTCTCGTTAAAATTTTTCTCATGAATTTGCACGAGAGTCACCTTCGTGCCACTTTTGCGCGGGACGACGCGGGAATAAGTAAAACTTCGCGCTCCGCGGCGATACGCCGCGCTCGCAGTCGGCAGAGCCGCATTTGCGACGAATTGAGATTATTCGCAACTCGCTCGGACGGGTCGCATCGTAATTCGACGATTCTTTTCCCTCCAATTCTCCGCTATTCAATGGCTCGTTTGACGCGGCCCGTAATGGGATCTCGGATGTGGGTCGAGCTTAGAAGGCCCGACGGGAGAAGAGTGGGAGGTTTCAGGACGCTTGCGGTGCTCTGGGGATCTAATCAACTTCGTCGGACTTTTCGCGTGAAGAAGAGGAGCCGACAAGACCGCGCTCCTCCTCGCCACACTTTTCTCGCCGAGTTTGGTAAGCTGTGCACTTCGCCGGCACGACGAGAGCGGCGAGCGAGCGAGCTTGTCGAGAGAGGGCTTTTCAGAGCCAGGACAAAGGAGCTCCGTTGGATGCTCGTGTATATGCAGCCTCTTCCCGCGCTTCCCGGAGAATGAAGCCGCGTTTCACGGGAGTTTGATATTATTTATAATGGGTCTCAGGGGGGGGGGGAAGAGGGCGGCACTCCGGCGAGAGTCAGGCGACTTTATTTCAGCGCGGCTATGCGCCGCTTCCGGGCTCGCGTCGTGGAACGGGAAACTTTCGATGAGCATCCAAGATCGTCGCGACGTAAAACTTATATGTTCGTCAGCGTCGTGAAACTCAATCGCGTAATTAGTTTTTGTCCGGCGGTGGAAGCTTGCGGACACGCAAGCTTGTTGTGCCACACCGTCTGTGTATGTGTGTGTACACGCTAAATCTATAAATTAACGAACGTCACAATAAGATCGTGATTAACGAGCGTGACTCTGGGTCGACGCGGGGGGGGGAGGGGGGTTTGGTCTCGCGAGGACTGCAAATACGTCGTGAGCTGTGCTGGAAGCTCGCTGAAAGCTCGACTATCAGCTGAGTCATGACGTGTCCGAGCGGCGGGCTATCGTTTCGCATAGAACGGTGGAAGTCGGAAGTGTTATCCTTCCGTTCCGTCGCAGGAAGTCGTACTTTGTGGCGTTACACGTTATCGATTTACGACACAGAATTTACGATTTACGACGTGTATCCCGCCGACGGTGCCGTTTGTTTTTACGGCCCCCTCCTCGTTTGTCTTCAGCGCGCACGAAGGATTCGCTTCTTCTTACTTAAGATGATCCGTTCGCGATATACGCTGCCTTATTTCCGATAATCCGTAAAATATCGCGCGATACGTATCTTCGCATGATTATTCCTTTCCAAGCCGATTATGAGGAAGAACGTTCCTCGGCTCCGAGTCGGAGATAGATATCCTCTATCCTCGTATTATTATTATTATTATTATCGGCTCAACCCGGAGAATGGAAACTCGAAAGAAGGCCTTATCTTTGTTTTTCAGCAGGAGGAAGTAAAAGCCGAGGAGGCGAAGCAAGAGTCGACCGGAGAATCTGCCGCGGAAGTTGCGGAGGTCACGACGCCCACAGAGGGTAACCCTGCCAGTCCGAACGCTGTCGCCTCTCCGGACAGTAAGGAAGCCAAAAAGAAGGATAAGGTAAGGCGCGATTCGCATCGTGGTCATCCGTTTGCAGCTCTCCTCGCCGACCGGCTAGATTTTCATCTTCGTTTTATCGCTCCCATTCAACGGCACGCACACCCAGCACTCGTATATTTGCTGCTATGATAGCAACGGGTGAAGCCCGTTCTATAATAGCAACTCCTCGTTCCGTCTCAAACTGCCAACTTCCGGCTTCACCCTGCGGTTTAGAATACTCCGTCTATGCACGTACGTGTGGTCTCATCGGGTTCTCAAGTAACTACCTTCCATACGCAACGAAATGAAATTTCTCGCCGCACGTCTCGAGACGCGTCAGAGCGCGGATCGATTGTTATTTGTGCGTATTCATAAGCGTGTCACCTTCGCGAAATGCGACAATCGCGCTTCGACGAGCGCTCCTCGAGATATCGCGTTATCGGTGTTGTTGCTTCCTTGTTTCTAGAAGAAAAAGTGGTCCTTCAGGTCGATTAGCTTTAGCAAGAAGGACAAGACTAAGCCGAGCCGCGAGGAGACGCGCAAGAACGGAGACGTCCCCATGGACGGCAACATGTCAGTGCAGGAACCACTCGCGGAGGTGAGTCGAGGAAGCATTTCTTACGATTATTACGTTACATATCGCTCCGTGAGCAACGACGACGCGGATGCGGGGGCAAAGCGTGTTTCCCCCGGAAGAAAATGATAACGAAGTATCGTTATTAATCGTTCCTCGAGGAAACCCACTTTGTCTTCGTGCGAACGCGCACGGTTCTCCCTGCGGTATCCAATCGTGAAGCGGCGTCGATTCAACTCCGAATAACACGTAATTGGGTGATTTCGCTCATCAAAAGTTTCACAATGCCCATATCGTGTGTCCTTTTTTCCGCTTTCCGCGTTATTACTACGTGGTAGGCGTGTCGATCTTCATTTCGGGCTAATCGCGCGATTTGCGACGCATTATTTCCGAAAAATCGACTCGACGCGCGTTCGCGACGTTTACGCCGCGCTCGTCACACCGGCGTCACGAGGCGGTGTAGCACGCTTCGACGACGCGCGGTCGCGGCCCGCTGCGGACAAAATGTTCGCGCCTGTCGGCGCGCGAAGCACACACATTCATCACACATCCACAGTGCCCTCTCGGCGGTGTGGGTGACGGCGGTAATCGCGACGGGGGGGGGGGGGAAANACGAAGGCGAGCGAACGGCGTTTTCGCGCCGGCAATGAATCGTCGTGACCCCGTTTTCGACTTCCTCCATCTTTTTCCCCGGGACTGAATCGAATGATCCAGTCGGCTGTGTCGAAAAAGTCCCTCGGCCGCAATAATAACGGCCCGTGTTTGATCATGCGTGCTTCTCCGTATTCCCTTGAAGTTCGCGCGGGCGGATAATCGCGAGCGGCCACGCGATAGCCGTCACGGATCAAGGGCTCTCTCTCTTTCTCGAGCGGTCCTTAATTAGCTGCAAGACGTACGATAAGTCTCGAAAGGCGCGCTCACGATTACCCGGGGATCCGTTCCGGTGGAAAACGATGCGCGACCGACCGACCATGCTAACAAAGTTATTTGTTGGTACCGCGGGATCCTTGGCTTCGCATGTTTCTGGACGAACGGACGGACGGAGATGCGGAACGCGCGGAGGGTAAGCCGTATCGTATCATTGTCGCGCGGGGAAATGATGAAGTATTATATGCTCTCTCCGTGTGTGTGTGTGTATACGTCGTAACGTTGCCGGCGTGGCCATTATGACGACGGGCCCTTTCACAAGCCCCGTGAATGATGGAGCTCACTTTGTAGACGTTATTATTAATCTTCGTCGAGCGCGGCTTAACAAGCTATCCACGTTACGCGCGCCCGCGCGCTTTATACCTCGATCAGCGCGATTATATCAAGCGATATAGATTGGCGGTGATCGCGCGACGACGACGCTCTCGTGAGCCCTAACAATACGTCAGGATCTCGTCGGAAGCTTTGGGTCGGATCGAGTCGTATTGGGTAGAGAAGAAGTAGTCGACTCGACCGGCGGGACGCGACGGGCTTAGATAGAATCCACTCCTCACCTTTCCTCGATCCAGTTTATACGAGGATTTTTGGCGACGGGTTCGGCGGACGGACTCTTCGGGGTCAAGACCGTAGATCGATCGCACGCCGAGAGTCCCTCGATGGAGCAGCAGCGGCGCTTTCGCGTTATGCATCAACCTGCCGAACCCGTCCGCGCATCGAAAGCTCTCTCGCCGGGTGCTTAATTGGCCCGAGGCGGCAATGAATCTCGCTTTCCGGCCGGTGCAGCGGCCAGCGGTCGTCGACAATAAATCCACTCGCCGTCGGTGTGTAATAAGTAACGATACTCCGGCTCTCTCTCTCTCTCTCGTCGTCAGCCTACCCCGTTTCTTTTTCACTCGCCGTTGGCGCGGCTCCTCGTCTCGCAGAGTACTTCGCTCTCTCGAGAACTAGCCGAGAGGCGTAGGCGAAGCCGCGTGCGAGATCTCGCGACGGCCGATCCCCTCGTTCTCTTCGGCACCTTCCTCGTTTTCCTGCGCCCGATCCGGGGCTGCGCTCGCGCAACGCCGGCCGGCCGGCCGTGGACCTCCCTTCCTTCCTTCCTCCGTCGCGACCTCGGCGCGACAGTGAGAGAGAGAGAGAGAGAAGAGAGAGTGGGAAGGGAACAGCCGTGACTCATCCCTCCGGTTCGTCGTACCTCCGTGAGTTTCGTGATAGGCCGCCTGTGGAAAACCGGCTTCTTGCCGCGCGTGGTTAAATTATCCCCACCGGCTGTCTTGCCTGCCTGCCTGCTCGCTCGCTCTTCGTCGCAGCCTCCGGCTCCACAGCCTGCAGCTCGTGTACCCTGATACGTCCTAACCACTTACCATCTACTAACAATGTTCCTCGCCCGATATTGCTCGAGTGCGACTGTTTTACTGCCGGATCAGCGCGCGCCCGGCTACTTGACGGGGGGGGGGGGGGAATCTTTCTAGGGNGGGTGCTCGGCGGTTTATCCGATAACGGCGCACGTGTGCTATCCGCGTCATGTCCCCGCGCATTATCAATCGATTCGGTAAAAGAGGGAAGTTGGAGAGTCATTAAAGGCTTCCCGATTGGGTGTGGCGAGTAACGCGACGGGGGCGTCGTGTTGCGTTATTTATAAACGGGAAAGAGAGAGAGAGAGAGAGAGAGCCGTCTTATATATGGCTCTTTTTCCGCCTTATCGGCGCGGACTATCGGCGTATCATTTTTACGTCTGTCCGCGGTCGTTTATCACCGCGGGTGATGGATGCGGTCGTATCATTCGGACAGTGGCAAACACGCATCTCCATAGCGCGCGGCACGGACCCCAGAGTCCATAGAAGAAATCCAGATATTTATAGCCGTCGTATCGTTCCCCCGCACCGCTGACGTGACCTTGATGAACCGGGCAACTGTTGTCGCTGCTCGTTACATCTCTCGTCGGTTCACGCTTTCGAGCGAGTTCAGTGATCCTGTCGATCCTAATTAATAACGCGGATGCGCTTTCGAGTTCTCCCGCCGTCGGGCTCCTGACTCGCGATCGGGAGAGAATCGGTTTTCGGTGCAGCCTCTTGCGGCACCGGTCAGAGAGAAAGAGATGGAAAGAACGTCACGCTATCGTCGTGTCGTGCAACCTTCGAGTCATCGTGGGTATCGCGACTTTCACTCCCTTCGAAACGGCCCGGCATTCCGAGTCATTAAGGAATTAACAGTGTTGGTGTAAGCAGAACCGTGCGGCTGTAATAGCGCGAGATGTCATTGTCGAGCGTGTTATGACACGGAGTACGATGCGGAGTCTCATTGCGTCGTTTACCCCGTTCCATGTCGAGGAGCGTACAGGCACGCGGATTGGAATTTATCGAGTAATTAGCATGGAAAAAGAAAGGTTTTCTCCGGCACGGAGATTCGTTTTCGACACGCGGGGTCGGCTCGTTGACGTTTTAACGGTCGTCGTGTTTACGTACGTACAAAGAAAATATATTCTCCAAGTAAATTATCCGAGTAAATCATATTCCGATAAAAAAGAAGCGCCGAATTGATTTACACACCTAATGTGTTCGCGTCTGCGATGCGACTTGAAATATGCGACCTGATCGCAGCGTCGTCTACGGTGACACGTTTTCCTACTTCCACGTAATACGCTCGTTCCGTCTCAATTGGCGGCGAAATTTTCAATTCAAGGCAATTAACTCTTAATTACTTTAAATTGTCTCCTCACGCATTCTTATGCCGGCGAGGCGTCGAAACTTTTCTCGGCATGCGCCAAGTCGCCGCCATATTTGCCGCCGTGAAGGAAGAAGCGGACGATGCAATCGTATTATTCGACGCTCCGCGAAGATCAATTACGAGCGGGTGTATCTGTCACGGTCGGAATGACGAGAGATAAAATAGGAACAGCAAGAAAGGATAACGCAATTAGACCGAGACCTGTCAATGCGATCGGGCAATCGATGACGCATAACCGTCGGACGGTTTTCACCGCGGGCGACAAACTCAATTATTCAACTTAATTCATTTCGTTCATTTAAGAAGTTTCCCCACGCCGACGTTTATCGGTCGGATCGACTCGGACGTTCTTTGTCGCCCGCTACATCTTTTCACGGAAAGATCGGCAATGAAATTTCCCGGCGATGAAATTACAGCGACGGACGAGCGAACCCGCCCGCGTGGCGCCACTTAACGCAACCGTACTAATCGCCCGTGTGAATTTTGCCCCGGGGAAAATTTCATTACGAGTCTCTTTGTGAAAAGTGCACGGTCGCCGCTATTTTCACTTGCCGAGCGAGAGAGCGAGGCGCGCGCGACCGATGCTCCTCCGATCAATTTTTCCCGCCCGACACTCTTCCTCGGCGGTCGACCACCTTCCTCTTCCTCTCTCCCTGGCTCTCCCTGCCGAGCGGACGTCGCGACTCCGGATTTGCGTGTGCGGCGCTTTTTTGCAGACGCGACTACGCGACGGCTGGCGCGACGCGAAATGAAAATGGGAGAGCGGTGTGTGCGTGCTCCGAGGTGTACACCTTCTCTTGGACCAGGGAATCATGGCGATTGGACAGGAACGTGCTCATCGATCGATCTCGTCGCCTTCGAGCTCCCTCCTCCTCTCTCTCTCTCTCTTTCTCTTATCGCCACTCCCTCGCGTAATGTCGCTAATTATTTCGTAATGTCGATTACGATCGACGTCTCGCGACGCAACATCGATACTTGGGTCACGGCTCTTGGGCCAATTTCCTACGGGAAACGTCACGTATCTGGCGGGGAAATCGGTAACACCCGGGGTACGCGCGGGGTTACCGCTGCCCGGCCGTCGGTCAGTGGCCGTGTCTATTACTACGCTCCTGTCGCTCTCATTGTGTTCGCCAGCAACACGGTTCAATGGCCCAAACTTCCCGGATATACTTACCTACGGCGCACTGTTTCGTCGCGGAGAAAAGAGCGGCGTTAGGACGCGCGTTACCGCCTGCCCCGTTAGAAGATCGGAAAGGCTCGATGAAAATTACGGCACGGTATCTTTCTCTCTCAGGTCGGAGAGAGAGAGAGAGAGAGAGAGAGAGAGAGAGAGAGAGAGAGAGAGATTTCTCTCGGCAGGACAAGAATCGGCG